TGGCGGCCTCCAGCTCCTCCAGGGACACCGATTCCAGCTTGACCTCCTCCTTAGAATTAAGATAGTTTAGAAGGATATCATCGGTTAGTTCGACGAAATCCTTGACTGTCGAGAAGCAGTCAATTTTTATCAACGACAAAAGTAAGTCGTGATCCACGGACGAAATGAGGGGAACTATGGGGAGGGAATGTCCCGAGGCCTCAGCATCCTTGACTCGAAGCAGGTATTGTTCTCGTGCCTTGAGAAAATTGTGAATCTGTTTGCGACCAAGTCTCTTCAGCGTCGGGTGTACGACGTTCCAGTACCCTTGCTCCGACATAGTTCCAGAGTTCTTCATTTCAAAGAACTTTGAACACTGTAGGTTGCCTAGTGATCACTGTGGCGTTTCCCGGGGCGAGTGCCTCCGAAAAGACTAGTCTGGAGTGAATAAGTGTTCTGTCCTTTTATTTCTCTCGTCGACACGAGACTATGGGTCTTTAAATACCTGCCGTATGTAGTGCTCGAGTGTCCTTCCACGCCGTCTCGGATACTGCAGACAGTGGGAGGTGGGCTTGTGTACGTTTGCAATGTACAAAACTCTAACGATTAGATGCAAACGGTTCCAATCTTGTGTACAGTATACCGTTCAAGCGAGTCCTTCACGAGGGCGGGCATGTGACCGGCAACGAACAATTGCGTCCCAGGCGCGTCACAGGCGCACCAAAGACTAGAAGACGTATCAGTGAGATGAGTAACACACAGAGCGCCACGCTTTCGCAGACACGACCAGCTTCACGTCTTAAAAGGAGCAAGTACGTGAGCCGGTTAAGTAAATAGTAACCTCAAGGGGCTCAGTTGGTTTATTTTGTCCTTTTTGCATAGTGCTGTTGACCACTATACCGATCATGGGGGGGTTTTCGGGGGAATTTTCCTTCGCTTGGAACTCAAAATGGAAAGCCCCCGTTCTCTGAAACATTTGGCTTTTGAGACCTCGCGGAATGATAGAAACCGGGGAATTCGACCCGTGGACCAAGTCTGGTCGGTCACTGACGGTACTTGGATGAAAAAACCATGATCAGTATACTGATCAGGGGCTGCTGGCATTACGGATAAATGATTAGGGATATCTGCTACACCCGAATACTGCAAATAGTGCGGGTGCAAATATAGTGCGGAACGCAAATTAGTGCAGACTGCAGTAAATTGTGTTCAACCCCTACCGGAGATGGGAGAATTACTGCAGACTACACTAATTGCAAACAGCACATGAAATAGTGGGGACTCGGAATGTGGCTCCCTTGCTGTTCTGCGCGCTTGCATCTACGCGGATGCGCAAATAGCGGTTCACTTTTACCATTTCCCGCGAATAGTTGGCCCAGAAGGGCGCCAAGATTGTAAAAACCAGAAGGCACCTTCTCCAATTTTGCAGTATATAGCACGCATTCGTCTATGCATCCCCTTAAACAGATCGCCCATACACAAATCCCACCACTCGATGGTAGTATCAGCGTCTCCAATTGTCGCTGGTTTCAAACATGCTGCTCGTGTCCGGGCAAAGCGAGAGGCACAAAACGCTGAAACGGGGATCGAATCGCATGAAAGCAGTCATGCTTCCATTGCACCTCCGTCCACAGTCTCACAACCCTTTCTTGCCTCCCCACAACCAGCAACCCCAACGCCTCCATTTCCCTCCCGTACCAGAGCCGTTCAGCGAGTACTTTTGCGATCCGACCGAATCCGGATTGTGAAATGGATGTCAGAGGAAGTGTCACGGGTCGGCTGTAAACACATAGCTTCAAAGGGTGTCCGTCAGTTCCCGCATTTGTTCCGTGGTAACGAAAAAGCCAACAACTCGAAAGCAAGCCGTTTATGGAAAGCGCGGGCGGAGTACCTCGAGGCAGATACAACACACCAGACACCGAGGCAAATTACAAGGGTTACAAGTTTTGGATTGAAAAGGGTGTATCTGAAGGCCAAGCCTGGACGCGGGAGAAAGAGGGCAGCCTGGGTGGTTGCTCTGCAAAGGGACCTCGTCGAGGAGTTCGATCGCTTGCGGAAGACTGGACTTAAGTTCAACGCAAAATTGTTAGGCGACCTGGCGAGACAGCTCATAAGATATTCCGGCAAAGATGAATATTTTTTAAATTTTTTTGACGCGTCAGCAAAGAAATATATTCAAGACATGATTTCACCACGTTGGGTACAAAGGTTTAATGGAACGAAATCATATTGTCAGTCGTGCTCAAACAGGAAAATTGATGGTGACCGCTGCGAAGCAGGCATTCATCGAGAAAGAAGTAGCCTTCCATCTTGGGGTTGTGGTGCGAGAGTTCAAAGCTGGTCACTTAGATGAGGATGACGTGGCAAACGTTGACGAAACACGTTTTGTCGTAAATATGGATAACCATAGAACACTAGGAATTTGTGGGGATACAGAGGTTAAATACTCAGATGTTGTGTCCGGCTCGGAAGGGATGACAATAATTGTACACATTTCCGGTGGGAGGGATGCAAAACTGGAACCTCCGATGCTGGTGTTTCAAAACAAAAACAGAAGTTACCCAATTCAAAGGGTTCCTGACGACGTTGCCGGAGTTTCGTATCGTTCGGGTCCGAAAGGTTGGATGGATCGGGTGGTGATGCCCCAGTGGCTGAGGGAGAGGAAGGTAATTGGAGCTCTAAGGCACGGAAGGCGACGTGTGATTTACATGGACAACTGCAGCGGGCACGCTGAGACCACTGAAATGGTTACTGCGTTGGGGGAAATCAATACAGAAGTGAGATTTCTCCCTCCAAACTCCACTGACTTGCTCCAGCCTGCTGACTCATTTGTCATACAGAAACTGAAGGATGCGTGGCGCGCACGTTGGGACCGGCATAACATGGAGCGCATTATGGAAGCCGACTTCAAGGAGTCTTCGGGCAAACTGCCTAATCCCGGGAAGCATTATTTTCTAAAGCTTGCAGCTGCGGCAGTGAGGGACGTCAACTCTCAACGAGACGGTGAAGGTTTGACGTACGCGCGCAAGGCCATGATCAGATGTGGCCTTGCTTTGAACACGAATGGGCAATGGGAGGAAAGGCAGTTGTTTCCTAAGCTGCAGAGCATTATTATCAGGTATCGAAACCATTTCGATGGTGCTCCAGTTCTCCTTAACGAGCGAATGGTTGCCGGCGAGAGCACGTAGAAATGCGGAGATATCTTTACACTATAAAAATTTTCTTTCTTCTGATTGGCCCTGAGTGACCTGTGCATTACAGACAGAATTAGACGAGACCGCACTATTTTGACTGATCTAAAATACTGCAGTCCTCACTAATTGCATATTTGGCCGAATTAGTGCGGTACCAATATTAGTGCGGGCCGCAGTAAATACTGTCACAGAGACAGCAAGTCAGCATTCCATAATACTGCGGACCGCACTATTTGCAGTATTCGGTGTAGTATCTCTGTAAGCGCACCCCTCAGGCGTTGATAAAATTACCCCCCCAAAATATCGCAAAATATCGTTCAATTATGATTCAGATTGCAGTACAGTACACCTCACTGTCCTCCTCCTCACGTCCCTCCGGGCCCTCTCACCAAACATTCGCAACGGATGACTCTCTCCCGTAGTCAAACCCGTAAGCCTGCGCCTGCACCACCTGCGCAAGGTCGTCGGCATTGCACTCCTTCTCATTGCAGCACATGCAGCACATCTCGTTAACGACCGCCCTCTTAACCGGGCTCTCCCCGCCGACTACGCACGTACTCGAACAGCAATACAGCCTCGGGTCCTCCGCCTGCACGAGCCTGCTCACGTTGCGAAACCCGGCACTACAGTTGCGCGCGCCCCCCGCCACGCCCTCCTTCCCCCTCCCCCCGCAAAACTCGCTGTACGCGTGCAGCGACGCGTTGCGCCCCATCACGTCCTGCACGTCCTCCGCCCGAACCCCCGTGCTGTTCCACGTCACCCACCATGCCTTCCCGCACGAGTTCACCGACGCCATCCGCCTGACCAGCTCCGGGAAGAAGTGCTCGCTGCTCCTGACCATCTCCCGGACGTCCGTGATCGCCGGGAACCCAGCCACCATGGCCGACCGTGGCCCGGTCCCCATCTTCTTCAGCGCCACGTGCGCCCGCGTCATGTACCCCTCGACGTAGGACGCCGGCACCCGCACGCGGTCCCCGTCCATCCGCTTGCACCGCGCCGCCACGTACGACATCCGCACATGCTGCCGCAGGATCCCCGCCGCCGCCTCAGTCTTCCCACCGATCAGATAGATCTGATGACAGATTCCCACCACGTACGCCGAGAGCGTCGTCGCTGGTAGCCATAAACCGTTGGCGTTCATCTTTTCCTCAAACTCTTCGCACATGCGCGCTTGGTCCCGGTCGTAGCGCATTGTCTCGTCAGAGGGGAAGTCCGACCCCGCCCAGCCTTCTTGCGTGATTTTTCTGACTCTCGACAGTGTCACGCCTCGTGCCTCAGCCACGCCCTTGCGCTGCAGCTCCCGCAGCACGGGGAGGTCTTCGCGCCGCTCCAGCGAGCAGAAGAGCCTCTCCGCCGGGGGGAGGAGCAAATCCTTGGCCACGATCTCCGCCAGTTGTTTTGACAGGTACCCATTGTCTTGTGTGAACACGCTGTTGCGGCAGGTTTCGTCGATCTCGGACTGGAACTCCACGCACGCACACTCCGGGGCCGCCACGGCTTTCAGAGCTAGGTCGTAGAAAAACTTAACCATTTCCATCGGAATCCCTTGGCGGATAAGGTCGACGTGGTTCATGTACGATTCCTCGACCACGGAGGAGAGGGACGTCGAGTTTACACATGCATCCATCCCGTTCGCGACGACAATCAAAGAGCCACAGAGGGCGAGTGAAATGGAGAGACTGCGTGAAAAGTACATGAAGCCCATTGCGGCGTCTCTTGCTTCGCGGCAAATCGCTGGGTTTCTAAACTTGCAAAAACAAGCTCTGCAGAGCGAAAGATTTGAAGGCAAAGCGTGAACGAGGTGGCTTCTCTATAGAACTCAGAAGGAAGTCGCAATCGGCATCAAAATACTTTTTGTGCTACTTCATTTCATGAAAGATGAACAGCTGCAGTGCCCGAGAGGCGACTGAATACTCGAGGCTTATCATTTGGAAAGATGGCGCGGCTCTCTCCCTCGTTTCTGTGCTCACGCCCGGCTTTCTCTCGTCACCCCTAAACCGTTTGCGTTGACTCTCTGCATTTCCAGGAATAATAATATTGTAATGCAGCAGGCAGACCTGTGCAGGTCGTACACACAAGTGCCCCGCGGTACCTTCTCGAAAAGCAATAAGTAAAAGATACGATACACTATGCAGATGATCGTCCAATGTGTCACTCTCTTGAAAACTAGTAAATATCGCGCCCGGACTTTTGCGCTCGCGCGTGCGACACTATCCAACTTCCCAGTCAGCTCTCACGATGCATCATGCTTCAGCCTCAGTGCTACTGCAGCACAGGAGCTGCGGCCCTTTGTTCCACACCGTTTCCTGACCAACAAACTCAGCACCATGCACTGAAAAGCTGCTCAGACGGGGACCATTTCCTTGAGCGGTCGTAGTAACTTCATCGCATCTCGTCCATCCTCTCACAGAGACGCAGTCTTTCGTGTATATTGTCCTGAGCTTGTATGCACAAACTGGCACGACAATTCACGTGATGGGCCAAACAGATCTAATATATCGAGAATTGCAAGCGCGCGACCAGGTCATAAAAAAGACACTTTCAATTCTCGAGTCACATCGTGGGCACCAACTTTGGCACACCTACGGCCTTTCCCTACACGAAGGCACGGCAACTGCCAAGACAAGCATCCCCATAACACATATCAATTATCCGCGGTGCGGTCACGATGCTCAGCCATCTTCTCGGGCCAGAGCCTGCGCGCAATAAGCACATCCATCCTCGTGACAGCGCCGATGAGTTTGCGCGCCTCATCCACGACCGGAAGCATTCCGACTGTATTCTCGGCCACCATCTTCTGGGCCGTATAAAACGGTGTACTCGGCGACACAGTGACAGCATCCTGGTGCACCCAGGCGCCGACAGGCGTAGCAAACACTTCCATGCCGCCCTTTCTCTCCGCCAACTTGATGTCCTGGGCCGTAATAAGCCCCTGCAAAATGTCGTTTTCATCGACAACAGGCAAAATCTGATGCCCATGCAAGCCCATCAGCCGGAGGGCCTGGCTGAGCGGGGCCGTGGGGAAGATGGAGACCAAGTCTGTAGTCATGAACTCGGTAACGGGTTTTGGTTGCGGGATCTGGTTAGCGGCCTGTTGCACGAGGTCGTTGAGAATCTGCTCTGCCTCTGCCTCTGTAGCCTTGTGCGAGGCAGAGGCTGCGCGCGCATGGCCGCCGCCACCGAGGTCCGCGAAGAGCTCGCGAAAGTCGATACCATCCACCCTGGCGCGCGCGCGGCCGATGAGCGAGACCTGCTTGAGCTGCTCCGGACCGCAGAACACGTCGTCGTCCATGGTCCTCTTCTTCTTCTTTCCGCGCCTCCCGCGGCAATTGACGTAGGCGAGGATGAGGACGTCCAGGTTGGCGATGTCCAGCAGGTCGGACGCGACGTTGCTCATGCCCTTTAAAAACGAGCGCCCCACCAGCAGCAACGAGCCGACCTCGACGCCGTTGACGCGCGTGCGTTGCAGCTCCGTCAGGCCCTGCGACAGCAACTGCTGCTGTTCGTCGGTCAGAAAGTTGTGCGTGAACTCGGCGATCGAGCGCTGGATGGCGCCCTGCTCCATGAGCCAGGTGAGCATGGCGGCGTCCCGCGGGGTGGTCTGCTCAAAGGTCAAGCTGCCGGTGTCGGAGTGAATGGCGAGTGCGAGCAGGGTAGCCTCGGCAGGCGTCATGCGATGATTTGCGGCCTTCAAGCGCTCGCAAATAAGCGTGGCCACGGCGCCGACGTCATCGACGAAGACCTCGATATGATTATCATTTGTGATATCACAAACGCGGCCGACATGGTGATCGAAGACGACGACGTGAGCGGCGCGGCGCGGCCAGTCGGCGGCGACGCCGAGGCGGTCCTTGCGCACGGTGTCGACGACGCCGACCCAGCGGAGGCGGTCCGGGTCGACGGCCTTGGGGTCGATGATCTGGAAGAGCTGTCTATGCAGGGCGAGGAAGCGGCGCAGCGACGGGCTCTCGCCGCCCGGGGTGACGACGAGGGTGCGCGGCCCGCGCAGCTTGGCCAGGCCGACCGCGGCCGCGAGCGAGTCGAAGTCGGCCGTGCTGTGCGTGATGAC